CCCCAAAACCCCAAAACCCCATTGATCAAAGAATAAGTATTAGAAGTGTTTTAGTTTAATAAATCCTGAAAAGGCATTAATAATTATTGAATGAAGATATCGATACCTAGTATCTTTTATAAGAGTTGATTATACTCAAATAATTGACATATAGGTGAACAGGTCCTGTCTTGTAATGATTCCAATAACTTGATCCTTGTCCACAACTGGCAGGTATCTAAGATGATGAAGTCTGAAAACATCTAAGACTTTCTGGGCGCTATCTTAAGGTTGCACGAAGTGTGGAGAGTGTTCCATATAGCATCTCAGATCCATCTTCTTATCCATGTTTTAATCACAGACATCTTTAACTTCATTGAAGCTGGGAGGAGCATCGTTGAATTTGTGATTAAAGTCTTCCCAAGTGACTGGTAATGAGTCCTTAATATCGTGTAGATCGATATCTACATCCTCGTCCTCTTCATTGTCAATGTGTGATAGAATAAGTTTCTTTCTGCTATCCTTATCAAGACCATCTAAAGTTTGTCTTGATAGTGTTTTCTTTTCTTTAACATATTCACTGTTCAAACTATGTCTTTGGGATGAGTTGAAATTTGAGTAATCATCTTTACGGAATTCACCAGCAAATACCTTGTTCTTGAGAAGTACCATAAGATAGTCTCTGCTTATAATACCAATAAGCTTCTTAGCAGTGTTGATTACTGGGAATCCATTATAAGAAGTTTTACTTAAAACTTCAGCAACTTCCTTTACCGGAGCTTTGAAATGGAACATGCTAACTGGAGCTTTCATCATATCTTCAGCTCTGATGTGGGAAGAACCTTATGGGATAGTTTCAATCAAGAATGGGATATTCTTAAATCTGACAGCGTTGATATAAATTGACTTCTAGAATACTCCTCCTACTACATATCCTACCATAATAGCGAATACAATAGGGATGAATAGATCAATGTTCTCAGTTGATTCCATCATAATAATAGCAAGTGAAAAAGTATGTCTAGCATAACCGGAAAGGATGGATGCAGCTCCAACGACGGCATATGAAGATGGCTTTACATTAGATGTAATATAACTTGATACGAAGAGACCAAATAATCTTCCATAGCCGCAACCAATCAAGATACCGGAGACGAATAGTCCAGCTGGGATGTTAGTGCCGTAAGAGAAAATTGTCATTGGATACCAAATAATTAAATATAGTGCTAAAGATCCGAAACCGAATTAAGTGTCACCATTCATGAAAATCTTAAAAACACTTCCAAGTGGATTAAAGAGTGCTGTGCCTAGAGGTGAGTATTTTCCATCAGGACAGAGATATCTTTAGAACTTCTTGGAAATTTCATTATAGTCTTCAGATGTTGGATTTGTTACGTCTACATCATAGCATTCATCCTAGACTAATAATGGAGCGAAGTACATTAAAGTGCCAGTCACAATAACATAAAACATAGTTTCTCCGAATTTTCTTAGGTTACTAGTCAAATACTTCTTTCTCAGCTTTCCCATTGTGTAATTTACAAAACAGAAAATTGCTCCTAAAACTCCACCAATGACTCCCATTATTCCGAATGAAATCAAATCATAAAGCTGATATTTGTCGTTGATGTAGGATCCGAATTTAATAACTCCAGAGTTTGTGATTTCTCCAAAGCCTTTACCCTCAACGAGTGAGGCTAAGATATTTACAAAGAAACAAGATACAGCTGATGTAAAGAATAAGACCCAAGTAAGTTCAAAAGACCAGAAAACAGTGGGTGCTGCAACTTCATAGGCAAACATAGTACCACCGATAGGAGAACCGAATGCTGCGGCGACACCAGCTGCCGTTCCTGCCGCTGCCATATCTCTTTTATCCTCATTATTTCTGAAATATTTCATGAAGCCGAATGGAGCATAGATGAGAAGATAACCGATTATAGATCCGATATGAGCAAGGACTCCCTCTTTACCGATACAGAGACCGGCAGCGATAGCAAACATCAAACCAAATATCTTAACAATTAGAGTTTTGACAGAAAAAACTCCAGGATAGTTAACTCCATTGAAGTATCCCATCATTTCAGTAGTACCTCCACCAGCAGCCAGTGGTTCTAAATAAAGGGTAAGGAGTGAAGCAGCAGCTCCGAAGAGTATGCTGATACCAATGTAAACTAGATAACCTAAACCAATGCTATCATCTAATAGTACAGGCTATGTAGCTTTCCATTTAAGTTTTACGAATTCTTCAACAAGCCATTCCCATCCATAGCATACAATACCAGTAATCGCTCCACATAGGAAATATGAAAGCCATTTGTAGAAATGAATCAACTTGCCATGTGGTCTAGTTTTATAAATTGCGCTACGTTAGAGCTGGAAATCTAGGGATTCACGCTTTTTAAACTCTTAGTCAGGGCGTGGATATATAGCTAAGGTTCGTGACCTCATCGGTTTATATTTATTATAAGTAAATTATCAAATGGATATTAAGTTAATATACTCTTTTAATTATACAAAAGATGCAGCCTTTTGCTAAAAAAAATTTATTAAAACTTCATATTTCATATTCTGATTAATTTACTGAAATCATGGGGTTTTGGGGTTTTGGGGTTTTGGGG